GCGGTGAACAGCCAAAAAAGTAAAATATACATAATACAAACGTTAAAAAACATTTAAAATACATTAAATACTTTGGCCAGATTTAAAACACCCCAATTATAAAACCAATTTAAAAACAATTAAAAAGGGAGGTTAGGCCAGACCAGCCTGCTGGAATAGGAATGTTTTGAAGGCGCAGCGGAAAGTGAGCAGATCTGGGATCCTCCGTATCTCCGGGGGGAGCTCGTTCCAGATGGCAGATGCTCCACAGAGAAGGCTCTCCCCCTGGGGGCCACCAGTCGACTTGACTAACGGCACTCTGAGAAGACCCTCTCTGTGGGAGCGTACTGGTCGGTGAGAGGCTATTGGTGGCAGAAGGCAGTCTCGTAGGTACCCCGGTCCTAAGCCATGGAGTGCTCTAAAGGTGGTAACCAGAACCTTGAAGTGCACCCGGAAGACCACCGGGAGCCAGTGCAGCTCGCGCAGGAGGGGAGTCACACGGGAGCGCCATGTCGCTCCGGTAACCACCCGCGCGGCTGCATTCTGGACCAGTTGGAGGCTCCGGGTGCTCCTCAAGGGGAGCCCCATGTAGAGAGCATTACAGTAATCCAGGCGGGAAGTGACGAGAGCATGAGTGACCGTGCATAACGAGTCCCGATCCAGAAAGGGACGCAACTGGCGGATCAGGCAAACCTGATAAAAAGTCCTCCCGGCCACAGCCGTCAAATGCTGTTCTAAAGACAGCCGTGAATCCAGGAGGACACCCAAGTTGTGAACCCTCTCTGTGGGGGCCAACGACTCACCCCCAATAGTCAGTGATGGCACCAACTGACTATATCGGGATGTCAGAAACCACAGCCACTCGGTCTTGGATGGGTTGAGCCTGAGTCTGTTTCTCCCAATCCAGATCCGTACAGCCTCCAGGCACCGGGACATCACTTCAAGGGCATCATTGGGGTCATCCGGGGTGGAGATGTACAGCTGAGTGTCATCAGCATACTGATGGTACTTCACCCTGAAACCACGAATGATCTCACCCAGCGGCTTCACATAAATGTTGAACAGAAGGGGCGAGAGGACCGACCCCTGTGGCACCCCACATACAAGGGGCCTTGGGGCCGACCTCTGCCCCCCTGTCAACACAGACTGCGACCGGTCGGAGAGAAAGGAGGAGAACCACCGCAACACGGTGCCCCCCACCCCTAACTCTTCCAACCGGTGCAGCATGATACCTTGATCAATGGTATCAAAAGCCGCTGAGAGGTCTAATAGGACCAGGACAGAGGAGCAACCCCTGTCCAGAGATCATCGACCAATGCGACCAATGCCGTCTCCGTGCTGTACCCAGGCCTGAAGCCCAAGAATTGTGGCCAAAGATCAGGGCAGTCATTAAGTAGGTCACCATGTGACTACATCCAATTTAATGATCTTTTTTGAGGTGGTCATTAAAAGAATATGTGGTCATTAATGGATTTGCTTTTGCCAAAAATTGGAAGTAAACATCTGTTTCTGGCAAAAACTGTCAAAAATCACAGTCACGTGATGTGGGGCAGTGTTTCTCAACCTTGGCTGGGGAATTCTGGGAGTTGAAGTCCCCCCATCTTAAAGTCACCAAAGTTGAGAAACAGTGATGTGAGACATTGTAGACATCTGTAAAGGCAGACATTCGAAATGTGATCATGACTGCAAAGGGTGGGTGACTATGGAACTTCAAAACTGGTAATAGCTTTGGGGATGTCTGTCATAACTCAATGGTCACTAACTAATCATATGAATTGATATGAGGACTACCTGTACTGTTTTATGACACAACCAAATTATTATCAGCCGAGGGCGCAGGGGAGGGGCGGGGAGGTGGCGGTTATTATTAAAGAAGATCTTGGTTCGAGGGAAACCACTGTGCCACAGATTGCCGGATGTGAAACCCTCTTTGTGAGATGGGGTCATGGGGTTCAGATGGGTCTGTTGCTCACGTACCTGGCTCCCTGCCGCGTGGCAACGGCCCTGCCCAAGCTACTCGACGTGATAGCCACGGTGGCAGTTGATACACCCAGGCTTATGGCCATGGGTGATTTCAACTTGCCATCCGTTGGTGAGACGTCTGAGATGGCACGGGAGTTCATGGCTTCCATGACGGCCATGGACCTGACCCAGTTAGTTCATGGCCCCACTCACGGGGGGGGGTGGGTCACATTCTGGACTTGATTTTCGTCTCTGGCCAGTGGTTGAGTGGCCTTGTTATAGGGGATATAGACATGGAACCCGTCATGGTCTGACCATTTGCTCCTTCGCCTAGATCTTCAAACCGCTACACCCCGCCACAGGGAGGCGGAGCCTACAAGATGGGTCCGCCCCAGGCGCCTGATGGATTCTGATAGATTCCAGACGGAGCTTGGGCCATTTCCTGAGGTTCTAGCTCAGGACTCGGTCGGGGACCTGGTGGCGGCCTGGGATCAAGTTGTGCCTTTGCGGCCTCTGACCCGGTCCCGATCCCTCGCGGCTCCTTAGTTTAGTGAGGAGCTGAGGGAGATGAAGCGCCAGAAAAGACGCCTGGAGAGTGGTTGGAGGGCCAGTCGCACCGAATCTGACCGAACACTGGTAAGGGCGCATATTAAGACCTACCTAGTGGCGATAAAAGCGGCAAAGTCTAATTACTTTTCCACTCTTATTGCGTCATCAGAGAATCGTCCGGCGGCCCTGTTCAGAGTGACCCACTCCCACTCCCGGGAGTGCGGGAGGACCCTCTGGAGGGCAGGGCTGAGGATTCCAGACGGTATGTGTATGACAAAATCACTCAGATCCGGCAGGATTTGGACTCTGACTGGGTAGATCCGGTCAGGATGACAAGGAATAGTCTTGAGAATGTTATCTGAGAAGAGTTTGACTCTGTGACTCCGGATGACGTGGACAGGATTTTGGGGAGACTTAATGCGACCACATGTTTATTGGACCCGTGTCCCTCCTGGTTAGTACTGGCTTCCCGGGAGGTCTCACGAGGCTGGCTCCAGGGAATTATCAACGCTTCGTTGAGTGAGGGTCACTTCCCCGCTACTTTGAAAGAGGCGGTGGTGAGGCCTCTCCTCAAGAAGCCCTCCCTGGATCCGGCAGTATTGGCTAACTATCGTCCTGTTTCCAACCTCGCTTTGTGGCGAAGGTTGTTGAGAGTGTGGTCGCACGACAATTCCCACAATTCCTGGAGGAAACGTCCTATCTAGACCCGTTCCAGTCGGGTTTCAGGCCTGGGCACAGCACGGAAACGGCATTGGTCACGTTGGTTGATGATCTCTGGAGGGCTCGGGACAGAGGTTGCTCCTCTGTTCTGGTCCTATTAGATCTCTCAGCGGCTTTTGATACCATCGACCATGGTATCATGCTGCACCGGTTGGAAGAGTTGGGGATGGGGGACATCGTGTTACGGTGGTTCTCCTCCTTTCTCTCAGACCGGTCGCAGTTCGTGTTGGCAGGGGGGCAGAGGTCGACCTCGAGGCCTCTCATCTGTGGAGTGCCGCAAGGGTCCTCTCGCCCCTTCTGTTCAACATTTATGTGAAGCCGCTGGGCGAGATCATCCGTGGCTTTGGGGTGAGATACCACCAGTATGCTGATGACACCCAGCTGTACATCTCCACCCCAGGCCACCCCAGCGATGCCCTTGAAGTGACGGCCCAGTGCCTGGAGGCTGTACGGATCTGGATGGGGAGGAACAAGCTCAAGCTCAACCCTTCCAAGACTGAGTGACCGCAAAGGCTGGTTTAAATTTCAGTAAGTGATGAGCAGCGCACTTGAAATATACAGTACCTTATAAGAATATAGCCACGGCTTTGCTGGGATAAACAAACCATAACTTGTAAATTTTAACCTTCTTTCTAATTTTGTTTTTAACTCTGCTTTTGGTCCTATTTTTATACTATTTTATAATGAAATTTGATACATAAACAAATAAACAGGTTTGCAGAATAATCCACAGTGGTTGTGTTCTTACACTGCATTAAACTGCAAACTAACAACTCACAAATTCTGGGTTCATACCTCATATTATGCCCAAACTAAACAGACAACATTTCAATAGTGTGAATTAGCTATGAACTCTCTTCTTAAACTTGTAAAATTGTGCTGAGGTCCGTCCACCTTAGTTTTTAACACATAGCATTTTGTGGACCCAGGATTGGAAGACAAAATATCTGCCCATTTTTCCATCCTGCATTTCAGTTTTTATTCCACATTTGGCTCTCCTGAGTTCCCCATATTATTCTGACATGGCAGCAATGGTGGGTTCCACTTACCTTCACTACCAGTTCGGAACTGGGAGCGCTCGCGTGTGGCGCACATGTGCATGCACAGAACCTTCTGCACGTTCAGTAGAACGTCCGTGATGATGTTCAGGTGGGTGGGCGGCAGTGATGGGTTCCTCCCGGTTCGGTCCGGTTCGGCCGAGCCGGTAGCAGTGACGATATGACATCACCGAACCGGTTCTCCCCCCCACCCTCCCACTTTATTCTTCCCTTTTATTTGGTCCCACCCCCCCAATCTATTGCTGCCTCCTGAGTCCCAGCTGATGACTAGAGGGAAAAAAACTGTTTAAACTCTTGCCACGGGGCTTCAAAGGGCCGTCCTATAGCTGATCAGTGTTAAAAGCAAACAAATGAGTCGGGTTGTAAGTGCGAGGACTGGTCGTAAGTGCAAGGACCTTCCAGAAATGACTGACCAGCTAGCCACGCCCACCTAGTCACATGACCTCCAAGCCACACCCACAAAATAAGCCACTCCCACAGAACCGGTAGTAAAAAAATTTAGAACCCACCCCTGGTGGGCGGAGCAGATTGGTCTGCTGTATGCACAGGCAGCAAAATGCCAACTGATGTCAGCTTTATTGCTACTCCGTTCCATTAACGGAATTTCAGTCCCCAAAAAGAATATTTCTGTTTGGTCTGGATTCCTTCCCCCCTCACCACCACTTTTTTTTTAATTGTCAGGAGATGTAGCCCCTTGGATAATGTTCTGAGGAAGGGGAAATACTAACTAGAAATTCTGAATGCATTTATTTAGAAATAAAATAGAGATTTATAGTCCTTTTTTTTAAAAAAAAAAAAGCTGATTTATCACTCATTACAATAAGCTCCCTTCAGAAGCACAAAGCAGCTTTCTATAGAAATGAATGGAAACAACCACCTCTCCCGCAGAGGTTTCTAGATCTTCAACTCAATGGGTGTAAAATGTTTTTCTTATTTATGTTCAAAACAGGATCCAGAGCTCAAATGTTTCCCATCAAATATGGATGGTGAAGTAAGTTGAGATGTTCCAAGGTCATCCAGCCTATTTTTGAATGGACAAGGCCTTCATCATAAATAAATCACTGGTCTTCTTCAATTAGAGGCAAATCCTTTGTATTTCAGTGGGATTTCGTTTTACTACTTCCTGTAGTGCAAATAAATTGTGCAAATTCATTACATTTATATTCTACTTTCATTCACAACCACGAGGCCCATACATGGCACTTCCTTCTACTTTCCTCCACCACAACAGGCCTGGGGGAATAACTTGACTGAGAGAGAAATTAGCCCAAATACACATAATGCCTAGAACCACTTTTTCACCTCCTTCCCTACTAAATAATTTTATATTACCAAGCTTAAAAAAAGACATTTCTTTTTGAAGTAGCAGAAAAGATGCCAGACTGAAGGTTAAGTTGGCATTCTGGCCATGTAAACTCTATCTTTTTAAGAAGAAATTGGAAAACCATTTGCCTGAAGTGGCATAGGGCCTCTCCTGCTTGAGCAGGGGGTTGGACTAGAAGACCTCCGGGGTCCCTTCTAACCCTTCCTTCTTGTATTCTGTTAAATGTACACCAATCCTGCAATGAAAAATTAAATGTCTCTACTTGAAAATGTAAATGGCAGGCATGTCATCAGGCACCAAAGAAGACCAGGAATATATGTGAGGTTCCAATTAAACTGATTTATTGCTCATGCCTATCTATGCACAGGAAACTACTCAACTGACAGCACTATTTTGGTGCTAGGTAAGTGTTAACAGAATGCAAAGGGATTGCACTTGGACTATGTCTGTGGCTACGGAGAGACTCTAAGTCAGGGGTGTCAAACTCGTGTCGTCATGGCGACATCACGTGACGTATCAGGACTTTTCCCCCCTTCGCTAAACCGGGCAGGGGCGTGGCCTGCGTGTGACGCATCCAGCCCTGCTCTAGGTTGATTCCTCTTTTGACTCCGTCCCCTGATTCTGCCATTTCTCCTACAAGTAGTCTTCAACTTATGATCACAATAGGTAAAGGTAAAGGTTCCCCTCACACATATGTGCTAGTCGTTCCCAACTCTAGGGGGTGGTGCTCATCTCTGTTTTGAAGCTGAAGAGCCAGCGCTGTCTGAAGACAACTCCGTGGGCATGTGGCCGGCATGACTAAATGCCAAAGGCACACGGAACGCTGTTACCTTCCCACCAAAGATGGTCCCTATTTATCTACTTGCATTTTTTATCTGCTTTCGAACTGCTAGGTTGGCAGAAGCTGGGACAAGTAACGGGAGCTCACCCTGTTACGCGGCATTAGGGATTCGAACCGCTGAACTGCCAACCTTTCGATCAACAAAGCATCTTAGTCACTGAGCCACCGCGTCCCGATCACAATAGGGAGTGGAAAATTCATTGTTTAGGTGGTGGGGTTATTAAGTTAGCCATCATTTGACTTTACTGGATTTTATAATCTCTTTAATAGGGTCATTATGTGAATCACCACGGTTATTGAACAAGACATCATGTGGCTGTGATTTGTGACCTTCCCTGCTAGATTCCCCATAAATTTTGCTTGTCCAAAGCCGGCTGGAAGGTCACAAATGGTGATTCTGTAACACATGATACTGTAATCATCATTAATATGCAAAGTTGCTAAGCATCAAAGTCATGATCACATGTCTGCGGGGAAGGTCATAAGTGTGAGGAGGACTGGTCATAAGTCACTTTTTCAGTGCTGTCATAACAGTTGCTAAAGAAATGATTGTTAAGTGGGCACCATTTGTATTAGAGGAGATTTCTCCAGTACAGCTTCTGAAAGGGCTTTTTCTACATAAATTTTGTCTAAAGACAACGTCTCCAATCCATCCATCTGTCTTTTTCTTTCAACAGCTGACTCGTGTATGATGTCATCAGTCCTTGCTTTATGACATCAAAAAGCCCCATGTGTTGAGTCTGAAATAATGTTGGGATGCGATCAGCATCTTTCTCACACAAAAACAAGCTTGTGAGAATCTGCTGAAACCTTAAATAGGATTAAATAATAATAATAATAAAAATCTTGGTTGAAACTGTACATCAGCATTCTTTTGCAAGATTAAGGGCAAGGCTGCTATAAATTTGCAATGTTTGATTATTTTTGTACTTTTAATTGCATTAAATTAAATTGTATTTTCTGATACTTGCCACTTGATAAAAATTTGATTAATAACTTGTCAACCCCAGAGATAAGGCACAGCCAAGTAATTCCAAGCAAAGTTTGCTGACCAGAATACATCTTGGAGAAACCACGATGTTGTCTGGTTGACAGCCAAAATAAGAAAGCAAGGTTGATCAATGTCAAAATCCATGTAAGAAAATAATCAAGATTGGACTGTGGCTTCATCCACCTTCACTGATCTCCATCTTTTATCTTGTAGGCAACAGCTGGCTGGTCTTGTCAGGGCATGGAATCCAAGCAGAGGTGGGCATAATCATGGATTTTGGGCTCTAGGAAGAAACTGTATTGTAGGCTAACCCATTCCAGATGTGGAATTCTGGGAACTGAAGTCCACACATCTTAAAGTTGCAAGGTTGAAAAACATTGGGCTGGACCAGGAAGATGAAAATCATTCTGGAAGAAGGCGTTCCAAACTTCCTCTTTACTATTTGCCATGAAAGCTATATGGCTGTGTCTTTCTACAAACCAGGAATTGATTATTATCTCTCTTTTTTTTTAATGGAATGCAAATGAAGAGGTAAGATATGGCTTTAGAACAGCAGAGGGCACTGGCTTTGTTGTATCTTCTCTAAGAAGACCAAAGATTCAAGAAGATAATCACAGATTTATTGGACCGATGTAAATTAGCAGGGCTAATGGACAGATCACTCCGTGCAGCAATCTGACGCCCTTCAGAAGGGCAATTCTTAAAAACCCCTGGGAAAAGGAGAGCTTTTTCCAGTAAAGCAATAGACATTGACTGCCGGAAGAGGAACATTAATAGACGAACATTAATAGACTCTAATGGACAGCGACCTCCAACCTCATTTATCAACTCTGACATTTCCTATATTTTTAACGTCAACATGGCTCTGAGAGTTTTCTGAGGCTGAAACTCTTTCCAAGCTTTAAAATCCACCAATCTTTAAAAGACTGGGGGAGGGGGTTTAATTTAGTCTGCTAAATTTCTAGACAGCTATGATGTACTTGAAAAAGCTCAAGGCACCCTTTGTTTCAATCTTAACTCTTTGCTTCTAGGAACTGGACCAGCTGAAGTCATAAATGCAATGGGGGATGAATGCAATATTAACACGGTATCAGAGGTTTTCAATTCAGTTGTATAGAATGTGAAGGATGTGTGTTTTTGTTTTATTTTTATAGTTTTCGTACGTATGACCTACCCTGAAGATGGCATTTAATTTCACAATGACAATAAACTGAACTAACTAACTTTCTATCATGAAACCCACCAGATCAGCAGGGCTGCAATTCCCATGACCCTTCCATCCTTGTTCATGCAGGTTGGAGGATTATTGGGGGTGTGATTCAGCGTAATGGGTCAGTAGCAGATTGGAAAAAGCTTTGGAAGACGGTGTGAAAAATGAATTCACACATAGTACAGCACTGAACTGCATTTTTGTTGCTTGAACGCCAGAGTATTCCCTGAGGGCATCTGCTGTTTCCTGAACCAGGACTTATGACAGTGGTCCCCAACCTTTTCAGCTTTGTGGACTGTTGGGTGAGGGGAAGGAAATGGTTCCATGTAAGCTTTGCACACGTGTGAGTGCCTGCCGCTTGTGCAAATGGAGCTGCGTGCATTCGCCGATCACTTGCCTGACTTGGTTCCGAACTGGCCACAGCCAATTATTAGGCCGTGGCCCAGGCGTGGGGGCGTGGCTTAGAACAAGAGAAAAAGTTAACTAGTTTAAGAAGCTATAGCTTAGTCCACTGGGTGAAGCATCTCACAACATTATTCTGAAAAGTTAAGTACCTTGCTGAGAAAGTTAAAGAAGTTAGCCTAAATAGCAATATATAAGTTAAAGAAGTTAGCCTAAAGAGCAATATATAAAACAGCAATTTATATACCACTCCATAGTGCTTTACAGCCCTCTAAGCGGTTTACAGAGTCAGCATATTGCCCCCAACATTTGACCTCAGAAGGATGGAAAGCTGAGTCAACCTTGAGCCAGTCAGGATTGACCTCCTGGCTGGGAGCAGAGTTTGTCTGCAATGCTTTTATTCTAACCACTGCGCCATCCCAGCTCTAAATATAATCTGAAAATAAAACTCGAACAGGAATATAAACCCAGCAAAATATCCCAGTCCTAACTGTAATGCCTTTGAAATACCGTACCCTGCTCTAATTATATTATTATGGTTGACTGCAGTCAGCCAGATGTTTGGATTGAATTTGGCATTGAGTCCTTCCCAAGGATTTGGGGTAGGCAGATATTGTTTGATGGTATTGTTGTAGGATGTAAGATAGTATTATGATTGATTGCATAGTCAGCCAGATGTTTAGACTGGATTTAGCATTTTTGTTGGCCAATCAATTCCTTCCCAGTGACCTGGTATGGGCAGATGTTGTTTGATGATGTTGAAGGTATCATTGTAGGTCATGATCACACCAGTATCATTATTTCACTCATGTTGTTAAATGCTGTCTCAAGATGCTCTTCCTGTTAAGGGCACTCATGGCTATGTGGGAAGAGTCAAAATCTGCAAGATGGTGGGCATCCTTCCTTCCAGTACCCCTACATTTTAGCTAAGGAGAACCTGAAAAGAACTCTGGGTACAAATTGGGTGGGAATTGTTGTGAAGCAGATTTGGGCACAAGAAACATCTTTGTGGTAGAAGCTCTGGAGCAGATGGGCCAATCTATCCTGGGAGACAACTGGTTGCAGATATGAATACACATCTTTCAAGAAAAGCTACCCAGGCAGCAATTTAAAAACAGGCTGATTTATAATTCAGGAATCTGAATTTAAATCCTACAGACTGTCAAAGAGAGAAAAATCGTGTAATAACGAGTGTTAGAACAAGGAACAAACAGGTGAGACAAGAGACCAAATAAAAACAGGTACTGCTCAACTTATAACCATTTGTTTAGTGATCAAAATTACAACAGCAACGAAAAAAGTGAGTTAAGACTGTTTTTCACACTTACGACCACTGCAAGTGTCCCCATGGTCAC